ATAGATAGATAGATAGATAGATAGATAGATAGATAGATAGATAGATAACCAACATAACATTAACACGTAATATGACAGGAATCAACAAAAACCTGCACTGATTTAAAAATGTATTAAGTGGAATACTTTTATTGTGACACAGGAAAAACTATGCAAGTTCAAAAGCAAATGATGTGCTTCATCTGATTCACACTTCAGATTCTGCTTCAGTGTCGCATCAGTAATGTCTATAGGGCTAAAGTTATTTAAAAATGTTTCATTATATTCAGATGTGACAGAATAAAGTTCAGTTTAGTTTATATAATGTTCTACAGGGGAAGAGAAGGCTGAGGGCCAGTGTTCTCTGATCAAAAGATTTTGCAGTTTTTTTTTAATAGAGGAAAATCCATCCAGTTATCTGTGAGAGCCTCAGAGTAAAACCACTGCTCCTCCACATCGAGAGAAGCCAGCTGAGGTGGTTCGGGCATCTGCAGGATGCTCCTTCCTAGAGAGGTGCTTGGTTTAATTGCTGAAAGTGGCAGGAAAGAAGGAAAAATTAGCGTCAGGCATTTTATTTTTTTCTGTTGTGCTTGCTGCATCTTTCCTTGTTTAAACTGACTTATTTTGGGTGTGGACTGGTTTTACTTTCCTGATATTTAATCTTTGCTCAGTTTCTCTACAGTAACACTTTTAACATGTGGGTTTTGATTGAGAGTCGTAATACTTTTAGTATAGTAATAGATTGATCCACATGTTCAAAAGACTTACCTAACGGATGGAGGAAAGGTTGTGAAATGATTTGTCGAGGAGAGCATTGATCAAAAGCTTCATGATGTTGGGCAGAACAGAGACTCAAGAAAACCAGGGTCTTTTCACCACCAGTGTAAAATCTACTGAAATGTGTATTTTCACACACACACACACACAAAGGTTTTATGAGAACACATCTGCACATGTTTAGGTTCCTGTAGCCAATGAATGATTTTTTTTTAATGGGATAAGGTGAGAGTAGAAAAGATGAGAGGAGATGAGACAAGTTAATCAAAGGGAAGCTGAGATAAGATGACTACAAAAATAAGAAACAAAGAGAGAAAGAGCATAAACATGGATTTGCATCAGTTAATTATGATTAATCTTCATTTATGTGTCATAGTTTATGTTTGTATGTTATTCATTTAGTTTATTTTAGTCTTATTCTCTTCGTGGTTTATTTTATTTTTCTGTCTCTGGTTCAGTTGTGTTTTCCTGTCAGTTTAGCTCTTTATCCATTTGTGTTTTTATATGTCATTGTTAGGTTTATTTTGTGCAGGTCTCGTCCTGTTTTTCACTGTTCCTCATGCCAGTTCTCATTTACCCTCATTCAGCTTCCTCAGTGCTTTTCCTGTTAGTCCGCTACCCTCACCTGTCCACAATCTGTAATCGCCCAGGTGTCTCCAATTTACTCCTGCTGTATTTATTCCATCATTTATCAGTTCTGCAGTATAAGTTTCCATGCCTAAAGGATTATGTCATGTTTTCCTGTGATCGTTAGAATTTTTTTCGTTAGCTCAGTTTTGCTGCCACATCAGCCTTTTTGTTTAATATTATTAAATAAAAGAATTAAATAAATACACATTATTAAAAACTAGATTAACCTTTGAGCTCCTCACGTCTGTCTGCACTTGAAGCTCAGTCCTTCACAAACACAACATTATGAATTAAAGCAAGAGATTAGACAAAGTGAGATAAAACCAGATTACACAAAATGAGATGTGATTGAAAATAGTTGTGATTCAATAACCTCAGATAAGATTAGACATAATGAGATGGGATGAAATGAAATGAGATCCGATGAGATGACATGAGATTAGACAAGATGAAGTAAAATTAGACAAAAGATAAAATAAAAGGAAACGAGAAAAGAGAAAATGATATGAGATGTGAAGAGATAAAACAAGATTAGATATGAGGTGAGATTAAATTAGATAAAACATGATCAGGGCAGCTGTGGATGAGTGGTTAGAGAAGTCGTCCTCCAATGCAAGAGTTGGGGGTTCGATTCCACCAGCAATCACGATGTGCGTCCCACTATGTGATCTAAAGCACTGATTATTCTTTGTATAGATAGAGTGCTGTATGTATGTGTAAATGAGGACACAGATTATGTTGTAAAGTGCTTTGAGTACTTGATAAGATAGAAAGGTGCTATGAGTACAATTTACCTTAAAATAAAACCAGATTACACAAAATGAGATGCAATAAATTTAATTCAGACGACATGAGATAAAATCAGGTCATGATGAGGATGAAACAAGTTGAGATCAAGTTAAATGAAACTATACAAAATAAGATAGATCCCTCTTCGGGGGAGAGGGCGGACTCCAGAAACCATCTCATCACCATCAAACTTGGCTCACTATGTGATAAGATTGAGTTTGTTGTGGCTCCTCGGACTGATGAAGTCTTTTGGATGAAAGATGAAACGTTTCAACAAAAAGAAACCGTCCAGATGACTTGACTTAACTTTGTTGGATAGACAAGATAAAGTCAAATCAGATAAAGAGATGAGAAGAGAATCAATTAGATGAAATTAGGCAAGATTAGGTCAAATGAGTTTTTCCCAACAGACCCATCAAATACCCTGCAGATACCAAATTGTACTTTATGCTTATTTTATGTCAGGGTTTGTATATAAAGAAACAGGACATCCATTTAGCCTTCGTGGAAGTCATATGTTGGTGTCACGCCCGCCTCGTGCCCTCCGTGGCCAGATTGAATGATGCTCAGAGACCAAGCAAGAAGAGATCCACAGATTAGCGAGTCTCCCACTCTCCCCCGCCCTCCTTTCCTCCCTCGCTCCTCTCCCCCCTCAGTCTCTCTCTGTGTTGGATGACAAGAGGCTGTGGATCAGCTCACTGCTGCGGTCGGACCGGGAGATATTTCTTTTTTCTGATTGTCTCAGGTGCGCTCTGCTCCGGTGCATGCGCTCCAGGACGCGCGGGGGATCACGGCTGTCATGATGAGTCCAACATCCGCGCCAGCATTAACCTCACATCACTTTACTTTCTTCACCGCAGAGATGGAGCACGATAACAAAAACCAATCGCACAAATAAAGAAACTGTTTTTTGTTGTTGTTTTTTTTTATTCATGTTTTAATGCGGGGAAACTTTTTGTTCTACAACGCATTTTTCATGAAATGGGGTGTGGAATGGAGATCTCAACTTTCCTGCTGTCCAGTCTGGCCGTGCTGCTCGTGGGAAGGGACATTTTCACCAGGTGAGACTCAAAGCAAAACAGAATAATAAATTAGCACACGTTTAATAAAGTCTAAATCATCGTTGAAGACGCAGAATATGCAGATAAACTACTCCAGACTTTAAACCACGAGAACTTGTTTCATTTTAGGTTCAAATTGCATCACTTATTTCCATCCTTGTTGCGCATCTCCTCCCACGACTCATCAATAATCTGTAATCTGTAGGGTAATTTCAAATGCTCTCTGTTTAGCTGCATGCTTTTTCTCTTTGTGCATGTTTTTAATGGAGATGAATTATGTGGGTGGTTTAGGTAAGTTTGTTCAAATCTGCCATCATTATGCAGCATCATCTGTGTCAGTGCATGTACTCTACATTTTAAAAGAGCATCATTGATGCTCAGTTTGAAAGACAAATGGTGCAGCTGTGCTTCAACAGCAAGCCCTGGTCGTGATATGTCACCATTACAAAACCTGATGAGTTTATATGAGATGAGTCTGAGATTTTATCTTGAATCAGGAAAAATCTGCATCCCATTAAAATCAATTATTTGCAGATTTTAGTAAAACAAAGCAGACTTCTGTTGCCTTTTATGTACAAATAAGATGTTTTAGTGCTAAAATCCTTATGGTTATGCGTCTCATAGGCTTTGTGGGTGTATAAATCCCCCTCGCGATGTTGTCCAGTCCACAGGATAATCAGCATATGTCTGAGCCCCAGCATGTTTGTGTGTGCTCCTGTCCAAAAAACGAGCAAGGGGTGAAGAGCTACTTAAACTTTGAGTGGAATTTGGGCAAACCACTTCTTTTGTCCCTCCCTGGGTGTTCACCAGCAGAGGGAGTAACAACAACTACTGTAATTGTATCTCTACCCCCCCACCACACACACACACACACACACACACACCTACCTTCTTGTGCTCAGTACAATGCAGTGTTGGCTTTTTCTTTTGCACCTCATTATGTGTCAACTCACTCTGTGTCAAACACACACACACACACACACACACACTTGCATATATTGCTATTCCGCCTTTGGTTGCTGACATTTGCGAGCTGCATCGTCTCCCCTGTTTCAGAAGCGAATCACTCAGATCTTTATCCATTTCAGAATAAGTTGCTGAGTTACTCCTCGCCTTCTTTGCTGTTGCATGAATTTCACACCTTTTCTCCTGACCTGAAGTGTCTGCTTTTTTAAGCTATGCTGAACATCTAATTAAAGATCTTGCGTTCCTTGAAGGAAAGCAAACAGCCTGCTGCTGTTAGTTTGAGAACAAGATCATCTTATTTTGAGATTTAACGGCGTTATAATTTGGTCGAGCCGTGAAACTGATATTATGCGATATCGCATGTGAAGTTGCGAGCTCTTGCATAATCTGTTGGTGTTTGGAGTACAAGGTATAAATGACTCTCAGCTACTATCACACCATATTTCAAGCTAATATCTGTAAAATTATCTGCTGTAGAATTTGTTGTGCTTTAATGGCCATCTTGACTAGGTTGATCTCTAAAATTAATCTTTTGTAGATGTACACCAAAGAATATGTTCTAAGAGCTTCATCAAAACCCATTCATGATCTTCCTGGTTCGTCACACTTGTCCTCAAAGGTGACACAGGCGACTCACTCCTCCTGACTAATCTGGATGAGAGGCTGAGTCAGCAGACAAAGTCCTCCTACCATTCAGAGGGAACACTTCCCAATAACGCAGTGATTGGATGGTGTTGCTTTGGCTGCATGACATGCTTCCAAAAGCCTGACTCTGGATTCAGGGTGAGTTAAGTCCAGTTACATTTCAGAGCCTCCGCCACGAGTTTCAATTAACGCATTTCTCATAAACTGGAAAAGTTATTTCTGGAACTATATGTGCTGATACATATTGAATTTGTAATGACTAAATGTATGTTAACTTGAAAGCTATAGAAATTGTGAGTTTTCCTCTTCACTACAAAACGATTGCTCAGTTATACCAATTTGACAAAATTATTCTGTTTGAACCTATCCCATCAGTATCATCAGTATTCCATCAGTATCTCATCAGTATCATCAGTATCCCAACAGACTGTATTTTCAAGGTTTACCTAAAAAGCCTACATCTCTGTCCTTTCTCATTGTAGTGTAAACTCCGGAAAGAACGCTGCTGAGTAATATGCATTCCTTCAAGGAATGCTAGATTTCTAATAATAACAAGTGTACTGTCTTTGCTTTGTTCAACAAAATGTCAGCATGACACTCACAATACTTTGTCAAACTATTTAAGTCCATTTTTGATATCTCTATGATAGTAGAGAAGATTTAGTTTGAGGAAACAATTTTATTTCCAAAAAGCAAGATGATTCGACATCACTGATTTTATTAGGAGGAGAGAGAGGACTTTGTTTTGAAACTCCTGTATTAATTTAGGATCAGGTTTAGCCTTATGAATTGTCCTCAATTTGTTTTGTCCTTGAGCAAGCTGTTCAGATTTGACGCCCCTGTAGGGATGAGGACGAGGGTAAAAATGCATGTGTGTTATACGTTTTCTCTTCTGTAAAAGCAGTTATCCAACAAGGAAGTTAACAGAAATGGTTACTGCAGTTCAGTGGCCATTTTAGCCTGTTTTTGGGGGTGCTCAAGCACACTTAAATTTTAATTCAGCACCCCTGAATAATTAAGAAATCATCATTATGATTTTGAAAGGAAACTCAGTTCTCAAACCTTAGATTCACCAGAATATTGAATAAATATGGAATAAATTATGACACTCTTAAACGGGCCAGTTAAATACATAATTTTGTTGTTGCATGAGTTGGATGCCACCTGTCAATCAATCCAGTAGGCTATTCAGCAACTGACCAATCAGTGACCTCAATTTGTCCCAAAGTGAATGCCCCTTACCTGCAGGAACTCCATCCCCTTTTCCTCCATCAACATTGTTGGAGTTTTCTCTTTACAGATGTTTTGCAGTCAGAGGGATATTGTGAAAAATCATCCATTTTTAAATCCTCCATTTTGTTCCATAATTACATTTTATGCTTAATGGTTAAATTAACAGTTAATGCTTAAAGCTAGTGGTGCTTTGTTTTGCGTGTTTTGTATGTATAGCTATGTTGCAACTTCAGGTTGCACAAGTTTAGTCTTTGTTTGTTATGATCAGTTAACACTAAACTGATTTTATACAAAGTGTTTATTAGGTCGTGCAACGTAAAGTGGAGCACTATGTTTGTAGCATCTTAGTGCTAGCTTAGTGCTACATTAGTGTCAGCAGTTGTTGACCGGGGGTTGTTAGCAGGGCTTAATTTGTAAACTGATCGATGCCAGAATGCAAATAGTGGGTGGGCCCATGTGTGTGTGTGCGTGTGTGTGTGTGTGTGTGTGTGTGTGGGGGGGGGGGGATTCTCCCCATAAAATTTTGAATAAAGTAGATGCAATTTCCTGCATTTTGGTGTATTTTAACGGGTTGTTAAACATCTACATTTACCTACATTTGTAAACCGCTTCTGTCAAGCATCCCTCCCCCTTACTTGATGGTTCTGAGCCGACTCTGCGCTGCTGAATTCACAGTCCCTGTTCATTGTTGTCCAACTCCACATATGAAACCTCCAGGTGTCTGCCTGTGTACAAGTGCCTGGAGAGCTCTACACTCATCCCCACAACTCTTTTAGGGGCAGAATATTTTTAAGGGTAGATGCAGAAATGCTACTTGAAGAGGCAGCTCATGTTCTTAAGTGGCGGTGTGTTTAAAATGAATGTTTATGTAATTATTTTCAGTTTACATATCCAATATAAGTTTTATTCATGCAAGGCAGTCATATTTGCTCATAATTTTATTATCTGTAAGCCTGAGAGTTACCAGATCCAAGCAAAGAGTTACTGGAACATGCCCTGTCAAAATAAGAGAGTTCCCACATCCGGCTCAAATTAAGCTCTGATTGTTAGGAAGCGTGAGAGAAGCAGAATGTGCTATTCACACAAGGAGAGCTGTTGTCAGGCTACTTCTTGTTGCTCTCTAAAATAGTTATTGATTCAAGTATTTACTTATGTAGGTAAACGTAAATGTTTAACGACCCAAAAAAAATACACTAGAATGCAAGAAATGGCATCTACTTTATTCAAAATTGTATGTGGGAGGACCCCCAGTCTCTCCACCAGTGTCTCTCTCTCCCCACCTCCCCTTTCCACATTACAAATGCTTCTGACACCAATGACCACTGTGTTGTTCAAGCCAAGAGCCATTGTCTGCACTGGGGGGCTAAGCCCCACTAAAGGACAGATTCTAGAATCGCCCCTGCTGCAGTTTGGCAGCAGCTTAGATCTAAAAATGTTCAATTGTTTTAGTCTGTATCTGTATTTGTGAGTGAAATAGAAGCAGAGATGGCTTACTTTAAAAGAAACACACGAGCATCTCCACAGGGATGCACTGGACTCGCTCCATAGTGCTTGTGCACACAGAAGGCTGGTTAATTACCTGCATGAAACATGTTCATGGTATTTTATCAAAAACAGCTGAACCTAGCTTTTTGAAGTACCGGTATATACGTTGTGCAACTGGGAGCAGCTAAGAGTATCTTAAAGAAAACATAATAGTAGTTTTAGATGTTTTTACAGTGTTGTCACAACATTTTATGAATTACTCATAAAAGAACTGTTTCTTCACATTTGGCAACATATGATGCCCATGTTTGGGTGTCAAGTGGGTGCCACATATGCACACACAATTTAAGTTAAGTTCAATCTTTTAAAATATTTAGTCACTTCTTTAGTCATTCAAAGGAAACATTAGGACAATCTGCACTGAAAGATATATCATAAAGACTGCGTACAAATATATTTTCTACCCATTTGTCTGTCTGCTGGGTCCCACCCTCTTTAAGCACAAACCTCATTCCATGGCTGCACAAACTACTTGACACTTTGGAAATACAATATTAAAATTCCTACTGTGTGGACAAACAAATATGGAAATGTTGTAGTCATGAGCACAACATGCTGAAACGGAGATGACTGGGTGAGCGAAATCTGCAAAATGGAAAGTGGACATTTGA